ACCCAAACTCAAGTACTCGTATTTGTACTCAGTCTTGAAAAAACTGGTATCGGGACACCCCTAGTTGTTTGTCTCGTTTGTCTCTATGTGTGGCCCTGTGATGGACTTGCGACTTGTCCAGGGTGTACCCCGCCCCTCGCACTGTGACTGCTGGATATGTGCACCAGTGACCCATGTAACCCTGAAAAGGAAGAAGCGTGTACAGAAAATGGATGGATGGATGGAATACTGGATAATATGATTATTATCAATAACAAAAACAGTCTTTTGAGATAATGTGAGATTAGTGGTAGCTACAGAGATTTATGGTTCGAGTGTACATGCCTTCCTTAACAGATGCGTTTTGAGCTGAGGTTTAAAGGTGGGAATGGAAACTGAATTTCTAAAGTCCTGAGACAAAGAGTTTCAAAGGCATGGAGCTAAGTGGCTGAATGCTCTTGACCCTGTGGTGGTCAGACAAGCAGAAGGAACAATAAGTCGGAGGAAGTGGAGGATCTACAATTACAGGGGTGAGTGTAGACAAGGAAAAAAATTGAGAAATATATGGAGGAGCAAGGTTGTTAATAGTCTTAAATGAAAGAAGTATAATCTTGTAAATGATGCAATATTTAATAGGAAGCCAGTGTACCTGCTGTAGGACTGGTGTTATTTGACAAATGAAGGGGGTTCTGGTGATAATACGAGCTGCAGTGATTTCAACAATTTGGAGTTTATGGAGGAGTTTGTCTAATAAACCAAAAAGAAGTGAGTTACAGTAACCAAGGTGAGATGTGACCAGATTGTGAAAAGGAATGGTTGCATTGCTGAGTGTAAGGGATGAACGCAGGCAAGAGGTGTTACGTAGGTGGAAGTAAGCTGACCGAGTGGCATTATTGACATGAGAGTGGAAAGATATGGTACTGTCAAGGATGACACCCAGACTCTTTACCTGGGGAGAGGGCGGTACTAGTGAGTTGCCAATGTACTGGAAAATTTGTTAGTCTTGGAGAGGGTGGATTTTGTGTTTACAAGGTTTTGGTTTTGTCACTGTTACGTTTGAGAAATGTATTGGAAAACCGGGACCTGATTTCCTAAAGGCAGTTAGAGAGACAGGTACGAGGAAGAGATGAGTTGGATTTAGTGAAAAGGTAGACCTGGTTGTCATCTGCATAGCACTGAAACTGTATGTTATGTTTATGGAATATGTAGCCAAGAGGGAGGGTGTACTGAGGGGTTTCAAGGACAGAGCCTTGGGGTACACCAGAGGAAAGATTTGGAAGAGAATGTTTTGAGTTGAATAAGCTGAGTACGACTAGAGAGATTCGATTTAAACCTATTCAGTGATTTGTCAGAAGTCGTTTTGTTCCTACTAAAAGTGTTACTGCAGTGTTTCTGTGGTGTTCACCAGCATCTAAATGTCAAAATGCCAGGCCTTGTCCACAGGTAAACACATTTTTTTTCTAAACAGTTGTTCCTAAAATCATCATTGTAAACACTACTGTTTCCATGCACATGGAAACACCATCCATCATTTCTTCTATATATTGCTTATAAAAAGTATTCATAGACATACACTCTAAACATCCTCATGAGTTTTTTGCATCATCAAGAAATAGATGGAATTTGGGGAAATGCGTAAATCTACAAAGAACAGGTCATTCTAACAAACTGAGTGACAGAAGGAGAATACAGAGACCACTAAAGCTTCTGAGACCACCCGAAGGAGTTAAAGATTCAGCAGGTGGGATGAGAGAGACTGAAAACAACTGCTGACCTGGTTCTTCTTCACTATAAGCTTTTTTGTTTATTCATTAAACTTTTCTTTCTGTTAGGGTTCAGAGTAATGCCTCGTTATCTTAATGTTCTGACTGAAAAATTCTAACATAATAGGACCAACATATTGTTGTCATTATTGATTAAATCAGCTTTTGTCTAAGTCTTTAATGGGACTTTGCAGGATTTGTCAGCCCTTACACTCTCATGTTCCTG